GCCTTTCTCTGCCTTTCAGCTGTCTGTCATGGGGACAAAACACTTTCTGAAGATCTAAACTATGGGTTTAGCTTTTGAATTTATGTCAAGGTCTGCATCTGTAACTAGGGCTTTTTGGCCAGAAATAATGCAAAGTCTTGGTAATCATGCACCTTCTGATTCTATTGTTGGGTATACCTGTCACTGAGGCACCTTGCTTGAGCCAGTCAGGAACCAGGTTGGAAGGCAAATGTTGCTGTTTTGTAACTCAAGAAATGTGCTGCATATTTGAGGGACATGAGAAAGATTATCAGAGACTTCTTTGACTTTGGCACGGCTTAAGTCCCCGCACTGAAGTAACTGGTCCTCCCTTTCCACATGTGATGAGGTATTTGGAGACAAAACGTTTCTTCAGAATTCTTTTTTTCCTAGCCTTCAGGCTCCTCCTGATCCTTTTTCAAATTACAGAGATGATGGGATACCAGGGAGAATTGCGATTAGTCTAAACTCTCCGCAGCTGCGAGGGATGAACATAAAAAAATTCCACTGGAGGATCCACAACTTCTGGACTCAATTTACCTACATGACACCGCGACCTAAACCAAGGGAGTGCTCGGTGCGCTTGGGCGGGAGGGAGATTTAGAGCTGCATTGGTGCGATTCGGTTTCTTCCATGGGCTCAGCCATTGAAGGGCTCACAACTGCCCCGACTAGCACATCTGTCATTATAAGGCAGTGATATTATGGGAGCCTGGAGATGTGGAGGAAGGGGAACACAGAGACAGTATGAAAAGCTTCAAGTACGAGAGAACCGAAAGAGGGCTTGTAATTCATTACTTGTGGTATCAAGGGGATTGTAAAACACCTTGTAACTGAAAGACTTTTGCCTGTAGCTGTTAAGGCCTGTAGGCTTCACTCTGTTTTAGGAGGCTGACAAATGTTGAGTGATCTTGGCAAGAGAAAAGCAGCACCAGGCCTTCTGTCATTCATCTTCGAAGAGACAGTGATTGTTTCGAGCATTTCGCTGGGGCTCTTCTGATTGTTTCCTTGGGTTACCAATCAAACACAAAATAACAAACACTGTTCCCTTTCTGTCACATTTATGGATGTGTAGAAACAGACAATGATGGCCATGTGCCATGGACTTTGAAGACCATGCACCTTGAGAGGCATTATCTAAAGAAACACACACACAAAGAACAGCTAGTAGTTATATCTGTTGTCGTCCCGTCCCTGTCGTCCCCCCTCCCCCAAACACACACACACACACACACACACACACACATTTATTTATTATTTATTTACAGCATTTTTATCCTGCTCTTTTCATCCAAGGCGACTCAGGTTGGCGTACAGATTGGCAACAATTAGATGCTATAAACATACATACATATCAATTAAAAACATTTAATATCACATAATAAAAATCCGTATTAAAACCAATTAAAACTATACAAATTAATGTCTACCAGTTCGACTTCTTATCCATTTGCATTGTCTAAGCTGTTCCACATTCATTATTTCATCATACTGTATTTATGCAATTATGCCGTGTTACCAATAGCTTGCTCGAAGAGCCAGGTTTTTATTCTTTTCTGAAAGGTCAGGAGGGAGGGGGCTGATCTAATATCCCTGGGAAGGGAGTTCCACAGCCGAGGGGCCACCACTGAGATGGGCCTGTCTCACGTCCCTGCCAAGTGCACCTGTGAGGAAGGTGGGATCAAAACCGTGACAGTTAAAGTGGTATTCAACTGTAATAATTCTGTAGTGTAGATTCACCCTGAAAAGACATGTATAGTATCCCACAGTAAAGGTAGATTTTTCTTTTTGCTTATGTTCAAGATACCTAGTGGTTTGATTATCGGGGATTGATATGTCATTTTAAAGGAGTAGTGGTTTTCTTTTCTTTTAAAATATTGAAAAGGGTGCAATGTATTGATTTTGAATTGCTTTTGGAAGGAAAGAATTGACATGTTGCAGGTAACATCATTACTTATAATGTGTTACTTGCAAGCTTTGCCTTTTGGTCTCTTACAAATGCCAGGTGAAGTCCAGTACATTAAGCTGAGAGTAATAACTCATCTCTTAAATCAAGATATTCTGTTTTCAAAATAAATGTGGCGCTAGCACATAGCTGACAAAAGTAAAATTCCATATTCTCAAATGTGCTAACATAGAAAGTTACCTTTTCCTTTTAAACATGATATGCTTTTCTTACACTTTATATGTTCATACATTTAACAAGGATCTTTCAAAATGATCAAAAGCCATGGATGCATTAGTGGACTTTGCAAGGATATGTGAAACCACAGATAATAGTGAACACATCCCAAGGTTCCATAGCATTGAACCATGACAGTTAAAGCAGTGTCAAACTGCATTCATTTCACACTGTTAGATGTACCCTGAGATTATCTTGATTATGTGGATGTGCATTTTGCCTCCCATGAAAATGAACTTGATGACTTTTAGCTGTAAATATTTACATTTCTAGCAAATATTGCAGGCTTAAATGGGAAGAAACTACCAGTGAAATGATCAAATGTTTATTCGTTCAGTTGCTTCCGACTCTTCATGACCTCCTGGACCAGCCCACACCAGAGCTTCCTGTCAGCCAGCACCACCCTCCTTCAGAGTCAAGCCAGTCACATCAAGGATACCATCCATCCATCTTGCCCTTGGTCGGCCTCTCTTCCTTTTTCCTTCCATTTCCCCCAGCATCATTGTCTTCTCTAAGCTTTCCTGCCTTCTCATGATGTGGCCAAAGTACTTCATCTTTGTCTCTAATATCCTTCCCTCCAGTGAGCAGCCAGGCTTTATTTCCTGAAGTATGGATCTTCTCGCGGTCCAGGGCACTCTCAGAATTTTCCTCCAACACCACAGTTCAAAAGCGTCCATTTTCCTTCACTCTGCCTTCCTTATGGTCCAGCTCTCACATCAATAGGTTACTACGGGGAATACCATTGCTTTAACTATGTGGATCTTTGTTGCCAGTGTGATGTCTCTACTCTTCACTGTTTTATCAAGATTGGTCATTGCTCTCCTCCCAAGAAGTAAGTGTCTCCTGATTTCCTGGCTGCAGTCTACATCTGCAGTGATCTTTGCACCTAGAAATACAAAGTCTGTCACTGCCTCCACATTTTCTCCCCCCATTTGCCAGTTATCAATCAGTCTTGCTGCCATAATCTTGGGGTTTTTTATGTTTAACTGCAACCCAGCTTTTGCACTTTCTTCTTTCCCCTTGGTTAGAAGGCTCCTCAGCTCCTCCTCACTTTCGGTCATCAAAGTGGTATCATCTGCATATCTAAAGTTGTTAATGTTTCTTCCAGCAATTTTTACCCCAGCCTTGGATTCGTCAATCCCCGCACATCACATGATGTGTTCTGCGTACAAGTTGAATAGGTTGGGTCAGAGTATACAACCCTGCTGTATGCCTTTCCCAATCTTGATCAAATACACACAGCAATTCCCGTGTTGTTCAGCATGTTGTCAACAAGGTGGTGCTGTTGCTCCCTACATTCAGAGCTTGGGAAACAAAGTTATAGAAAAAATACAACTCTTAAGGCAACCCCAAATACGCTGCCATATAATCCTGTTCCTGAATCCAGATTATTAATTTGTTTGTTTGTTTGCTGTATTTGTATACCGCCTTTCTCAGCCCACAGACAACTCAAGGCGGTTTGCAGGGCAAATTATCTGCTTTGGACTGGCAGTGTAGACTCATAATCCAGTTCAAAGCAGATAATATGGATTCAGAAATTCAACAATGCAGCCTTCTTGACTGCAGTCTCTATTCTAGGCCTGGGCAAATTTGGCCTCTCCAAGTGTTTTGGACTTCAACTCCGACAGTTCCTAAGGAAGTTGAAGTCCAAAACACCTGGAGGGCCCAAGTTTGAGGTCCTAAACACCTAGAAGGCCCAAGTTTGCCCAGAGTTGAAGTCCAAAACACCTGGAGGGCCCAAGTTTGAAATCCTAAACACCTAGAGGGCCCAAGTTTGAAGTACTAAACACCTGGAGAGCCCAAGTTTGAGGTTCTAAACACCTAGAGGGCCCAAGTTTGCCCAGAGTTGAAGTCCAAAACACCTGGAGGGCCCACTTTTGAAGTCCTAAACACGTGGAGTAGATGCGCCCAAAGAGGAATGCTTTGACTGCTCTGACTCAATGCAATGGAATCCTGGGAGTTGCAGTTTGGTAAGGCACCAGCACTCTTTGGCAGTGAAGGCGAAAGTCTTTTTAAGACTACAACTCCCATGAGGCATTAAAAGTGGGGTCAAACTTCAGAGCCAAAGAAAATCTTGGATTATTTCAGCATCTGTTTTAAAAGTGATATAAAATCCTTTGTGGCCATTGTTTTTCTTCTCTTCATCCCCAAACTTTGCTGTGCTCTTGACTGGCTTCAGTAATACTTTGCAGAGATCTGTGCTCACTTTCTTGACTAGTTTGTGGAGATCTATTTTCTGCCAATAGTATGGTATCATCTGCATAACAAGCATTGTTGAAGTTCCAACAATACACTTGGTGACTTGTGTAAAATATGAATTTCTGATGAGAAATCTGTCCCATACTTTGAATCTAAAAATTGGGGCTTACTCTCTATCCTACACTCATCTATATCTGTTGGGAATCACAATCTCATGTGTATTGACACAGCAATACTTAACTTTACCACTTGAAACTGTGAGGAATCTGTATGAAGGGCTGCTGTGCCTCCTTAAGAGGGAGCTCAGTTGCTCTTCGGAACCCTTCCTATACGTTCTGTAGTCGTGGCCGAGTGGTTAAGGCGATGGACTAGAAATCCATTGGGGTCTCCCCGCGCAGGTTCGAATCCTGCCGACTACGTCATCTTTTTAAAAAAAATAAATATATATTATTTATATTTTAATTATTCCTGCTGTGCATTGTCATTTATGGATTACCCTCCCCTTCCGCATTTTTTAAAATGTTTTGGATTAACTCCTTCCCAGGCCGAAGGGGGCGTGGCCAAGGCTCTCATGTTACCATGGCAACGGCGGGGACGGGAGGGGGAGCCGAAAGCAGAGGCCAAAATGGCGGACGATTTGGATGAGTTGCTGGACGAAGTGGAAAACAAGTTCTGCCGCCTCTCGCGGAGAGACTGCGCGGACAGGAATGGGGCCAAGGGACGGGAAAAGGGACGCTTCCGGGAAGAGGAAGGAGGAGAAGGAGGAAGAGAAGGGGTGGAGGCGGCCGCGGGGGGAGAGACAGCTCGGTGAGCACTGCGCATGCGCACAGCTGCTTTCCAGGCCCCATCTCGTCTCCATTGACTTGTGGACCTGAGCCTCATATAGATCAGTGCAGAGGGCCAAGCGAACACTGCGCATGCGCGTGCCTGCTTCTTAAGCCCTATCTCAGGCATGGGCAAACTTGGGCCCTCCAGGTGTTTTGGACTTCAACTCCCACAATTCCTAACAATTCAGCTCCCACAATTCAGTCATGACTGAAGAAGGGGATTGTTGTGTTTCATCCCTGCACTGCACAAGCCTTTGTATCATCAAGTTTCTAGTCCTCAGTGAGGAGTTAGACTAGAGACAGGGTGTACCTGCTTCTTAAGCCCTATCTCAGGCATGGGCAAACTTGGGCCCTCCAGGTGTTTTGGACTTCAACTCCCACAATTCCTAACAATTCAGCTCCCACAATTCAGTCATGACTGAAGAAGGGGATTGTTGGGTTTCATCCCTGCACTGCACAAGCCTTTGTATCATCAAGTTTCTAGTCCTCAATGAGGAGTTAGGCTAGAGACAGGGCATGCCTACTTCTTAAGCCCTATCTCAGGCATGGGCAAATTTGGGCCCTCCAGGTGTTTTGGACTTCAACTCCCACAATTCCTAACAATTCAGCTCCCACAATTCAGTCAAGGCTAAAGAAGGGGAGTGTTGGGTTTCATCCCTGCACTGCACAAACCTTTGCATCATCAAGTTTCTAGTCCTCAATGAGGAGTTAGACTAGAGACAGGGTGTACCTGCTTCTTAAGCCCTATCTCAGGCATGGGCAAATTTGGGCCCTCCAGGTGTTTTGGACTTCAACTCCCACAATTCCTAATAATTCAGCTCCCACAATTCATTCATGACTGAAGAAGGGGGTTGTCGGGTTTCATCCCTGCACTGCACAAGCCTTTGTGTCATCAAGTTTCTAGTCATCAATGAGGAGCTAGACTAGAGACAGGGCTAAGCTCAGGAATTCTGGTAGGCTGTTAGGAATTGGGTAGTATTTGTTTGTTTGTTTGTCGTGTCAGGATAACCAGTCAAATTATTTTACATTTCTAACAGAACAAAGCAAACAAACAGACAAAATACAAAATTTGTGAGTTTGGAAGTTAATTAAATGTCCTTTGACCAGTATCTGGCCACTTGGAGTGACTCTGGTGTTGCTGCAAGAAGGTCCTCCATTGTGCATGTGGCAGGGCTCAGGTTGCATTGCAGTAGGTGGTCAGTGGTTTGCTCTTCTCCACACTTGCATGTTGTGGATTCCACTTTGTGGCCCCATTTCTTGAGGTTGGCTCTGCATCTCGTGGTGCCAGAGCGCAGTCTGTTCAGCGCCTTCCAAGTCGCCCAGTCTTCTGTGTGCCCAGGGGGGAGTCTCTCATTTGGTATCAGCCATTGGTTGAGGTTCTGGGTTTGAGCCTGCCACTTTTGGACTCTCGCTTGCTGAGGTGTTCCAGCAAGTGTCTCTGTAGATCTTAGAAAACTATTTCTAGATTTAAGTTTTTGACGTGCTGGATGATATTCAAACAGGGGACTGCACAAGCCTGCACTGCACAAGCCTTTGTGTCATCAAGTTTCTAGTCCTCAATGAGGAGCTAGATTAGAGACAGGGCTAAGCTCAGGAATTCTGGTAGGCCATTAGGAATTGTGGTAGTTGGAGGACCCAAGTTTGCCCATGCGTGATCTACACCGTAGAATGGCAGTGTGGACTCAGATAAGACAGTTCAAAGCAGATATTGTGGATTGTTTGCCTTAATATTCTGGGTTATATGGCTGTATGGAGGAGTCCCGGTTCCCATTTAGTTTGCCAAACAATCCTATTTATCTCTGATTTAAAGCTGCTATGTTAAACTGCAATCCTGAAGATATTTATTTATTTATTTGCAGTATTTCTATCCTGCCTTTCTCAAACCCAAAGATGACTCAAGACGGCTTACAACCAAGCAGCCATTTGATGCCATTAACAATATAATAATAATAATAATAACAACAACAACAACAACAACAACAACTTTGTTTTTATACCCTGCCAAACATCTCCCCTAGGGGACTCGGGGCATTTCACAAGGGACACGCCCAAGATTACAATTAAAACACACATGTAAAGCACTTTAACCAATTAAAACATCAGATAAAACAAATAACAACACAATAGAAAGCAATATAAAAACATATAATAAACAAAAAATATACAGCAACAACCCAAAAAATATACACTCAAACCATTTAGAACAAAGTTATACAATTATAAAAACCATGCAAAGAACATATAAAATCAATATAAAACCAATACCTTCATATAAAAACCAATACTTATTCAGAATCCTCTTCAGATTTACTTCCCAAGTAAACACTGTTTTAAGTTTTTCTTTTCTTATGGTGCATCTACACTGGAATGAATGCAGTTTGACTTCATTTGAACTGCCATGATTCAATGCTATGGGGTCCTGGGATTTGTAGTTTGGGGAGGCCATGGCAGACAAGGTTAAAGATTAAAACTATAGTCCCAGTGATTCCCTAACACTGAGCCATGGCAGTTCAAGTGGAGTCAAACTGCATTCGTTCTGCAGTGTAAATTCACCCTATGACTCTCGGCACCCTGTGCAAATGCTGAATGTGTGTTGTGTAGATGTTTCCATTAACACTAGCCTTCCAGATGTTGTTGGAATGCAACTCCCATCAGCCTCAGTGACTATAGCCCAGTGATGCCCCTTCCATACAATTGAATAAAATCCTACATTATCTGCTTTGAGCTGGGATATATGGCAGTGTGGACTCAGATAACCCAGTTCAAAGCAGATATTGTGGGTTATTCTGCCTTGATATTCTGGGTGATGTGGATGTGTGGGAGGGCCCTGAGTGAACAGTTGAGAACTATGTTAATAATGTTCTGCAACTTCCTAGAAGGCCTTTATATCTCTCTACCACAGCAGCCACCAATGATACTTTGTAGGGAAGGGCAGGTCCCTGGTTTTGTATATATGCATCATGCTTTTAGTCCATACATGACCAAATTCAGACTGAAACTAGTGCCAACTTCTTAATCCCATTTCTGTCCTTCTGCAGCTACAGATGATCTTATTTCTTACCCTGCAACACAAACACATATAGAGGTGTAAGGTTTATGGAAATTCTGGAGCAATGGGTGAAATGTTTTGAAGGAAAGCAAATGTTTTTAGAAAAATTGAAAAAATGCAGTGTTAACACTCTTTAGAGTTCAGAGGTCAATTTGTTAATTTAGGAACATAAAATGCATAACAGTATGACCTTTGTATCTCTGGAGTTATATTCCCGGATTTCACAAATGATAGTGAACCCTATTGAAATGAATGAACCTTCTGCCCAAGAATACCATTAAATCACACTGGAAAACATCTGCAGAAGACATACTTTGTTGGACATGAGTAATTGAACTGTAGTTACAGTATATATAACTTGGTTTGACAGAAAACTATTATGTTTGATATATTAAAAGTATATTTTATTTAAAATATAATTACAGATTGAGCTATTATACTTCCTTTTCAAATTTTATTTCTTTTTCCAAATTGAAAACAAAGTCCTGAACTATAAGGAGCCACAAAGAAGCTCTGGTTTTGCCAGTTTGAGGAACAACCAAAACCAATGAAAGCAAGAGAAACCATAAACATTGCTAAAACATATAACTTTTTATCTCCGTTTAGTTCCCTATTGAGTCAAGGAGGCATGAAAAAAGGAAACCAGGACTAGGAGCTGTAGCGAACTGATACTGTACATGGTCTTACATAAACTCTTCCTCTTATGTGGTTTTTAGGTAAGGTTTGAACAAGAAATAGATAAACACCTTGTGTTCAATATTTCATTCAGAAGAAAAATATCAGGTTTTTTTTTATTTTCCAGATTTTTTTCCCAATTTTTCCAGAAAAGGAAGGTTTCTTGGAAAAAAGAAAAAAGCCTGTTTTCCTAATTTTTTCGCGGCTCTAACCTCTTTCTATACAGAGAGAGAGCTTTTCTATCAGTTGCCATTTTTATCAACCTCTGCTGTATGTTTTGCCAGTGCAGTCAATCTGGGCTTCTTAAACCTTTTCCACTCATTTTCCCCTTTTCACCTGAGACATTTTATGTGGACCCCAGGTATATAAAATAGGTATAAGAATCAAACATTTAATAATAACAAATCAGTATTTGCGAAGCTTGCTAAACAGACTGATTTTTCTTTTTGTGAAGTACAGCTGAAGCATTGTTTGCAGAGTTCACTGTAAATCTGCATGTTATTGCTGACGGATTTATGTAAATGGATGGCATTTAGAAAACTTTTACTGCTGCCAATTTTTTCATGACCTCAACATTGAGCTCAGAGAACCCCATTTGGGGTCGGAACCCACAGTTGAAGAAGTAGTACATTGGATGTCTCTGCCCAACGGTATGCAGAAACACTGCCATCTCCTTGCTTCACTTATTTTAGGCAAACCATGTCTCCCTCTCTCACACACTCCTCCAGTCCATCTGGCTGTTTCCCAAATTACTTCTCAACTGCTTTCCTACTGTTCACCTAGTTTCTGAAACGTAAGGAAAAAAGCATTGCAAGTGACATCTGCAGAATGCAACGTGATTTAGGTATGCTGTGTATGACTCCCATGTATATTCATTTAAGTGAGGAGGAAAGGTTTGAGAGCCAAAATAATGGATTGTGATATGACTCGTGGATAATGTGAGGGTCATTCCATGGAGAGGGAAAAGCATCAGAGTTGTCAAGGGCTGGTTCCGACATTTCCCCAACCAGGCATTCCAAAAAGCCAGAAATGCTATGATAGTGGATTTGTTTATTTATCATATCAGAAGCAAATTGAGAATATAGTTATAATGTATTTCTAAAAACCACAAAAACTTGCTATTATACTAGATTTCCTTTGACCAGAAGCTGGCTGCTTGGAGTGCCTCTGATGTCTCTGTAAGAAGGCCCTCCATTGCGCATGTGACGAGGCTCAGGCTGCATTATAGTAGGTGGTCTGTGGTTTGCTCTTCTCCACATTCGCATATCGTGGGCTCCACTTTGGAGCCCCATAGTGGAGACAGTTTCAGATGTTAGCAGTACTTGTTTTAGATTCTTCTAGGACAGACTGAGCTGTTGATGTTGGCCATTCTATTCATAGGAGGGGATAGTTCCTTTTTAAATAAGAGTTAAGATACAATACTCTCATTGACACATTGATAAGTTAGCTGAGGATTTTTGGGCTGATTTCTTGACTAATTGTTCTGGGCTTCTACATGACTATATAGGATAAATGCCTTGCCAATCCTACAAGTCTAATCAGCCCTCATGTAAAACTGTTGGAAGCTACCTTTGGTTCCTACATGCACCACACATGCAAGAAACTAAAAGTCATCATGTAGAGTCATGCCTAGAACAATTTTCATGGAGAGGATACTAAATGTTCTTTCTATATTTCTTAACCAAGAGTTCCTTCTGTGTAGAGATACCCCTGGTTTGCTAAGCAACCCAGAACATCTCAATATATCGCTTGGTGTTCTTCACCTCCTCTAATCCCTACAGAGATCAAGATTAGTTGGACAATTAGAAGGAACTGGGGCATCTCAAGCTTTGGGGACTCCTTGTGATGCCAGACTCATTTCATTCTTCCTGGAGCGTCCCATTTTTGTTTACCTCTCTACACTTCCACAATTGGAATGAATATACACTATATCTGGTATCTGGCATCCCCTATCAGTTGACTCCTTTCCCCAGAGTTAATATCTCCATCAATGAACATGCTCATGTTTGAATAGTACATGAGTGCCTATAAACACAGAGCACTGTGTTGCTGATACGAAAAATGCTCACTGACTTGGCTCTGCAATGTATAGCTGCTGGCCATCTCTTGTCATAGTTCACCCCTTTGAATGTTGCACATGCTTTTTGGGAATGCATGGTGAACAAGCTGCTAACTCATTCCCTTTATAATGTGAACCTTGGTCTTTAATCACTCAAGTTTGTTTACCCTCTGATCATTCCAGCAGTGCTATCAGTTTGAGGTAGTAAAAATGGCAGGAGAGGATTTTGTAGCATTTTAATAACTAACAATAGAGAACCCTGTTGCATCGAAAACAAAGATTCTAAAGCAGAGGATCTTGTAGCATTTTAATCAAAGATTTAATTGACACAGGCTTTCATAAATAGCAGAAATAAAACTTGTTAGTCTTTAAGATACCACAAGCCTCTACATCTGTTGGAAATAAAAGAGGAGAAAATTGTTAGTTTGCTATTGCTAAATTGTTATTTCCACACGCACACACACACGTGTCTTAGCTGAAGGGATGGCAGTCTGATGCCTTTGCCTCAAGCAGCAAAATACCTTACATGAACCTTTTCAAGTGTGTTGTTTGTACTTTTTGATCACTCCCACTCAGACTACTCATGGTTGTGTGGACAATAGACAGCTCACAAGCTTAAAGCCAGAGTGGCTTATAAATGTCCTTCCTTATTCATATGTTGCAAACTGTTAGGAATGAGAGGGAAAGTGGTTTGTAGCAACTCTGCAGTGTTTCTAGTTTTATTATATCCATACTACAGATGCGGCAAGGAGACGATTGGGAGTGAGACAGCAGCTCACAATAACCATGTCATATATGGCAGTTCAAATTTATTATATCTTTATTTCAGCCTGTGCTGGAGGTTAAAGTGGATGCTGAGTGTTTGAGTAAGTTATAGCTCTTCTTGAAGACGGGTCTTCTTATCACCAGGTGGCAAGTTTTGGAAAATTTATTTATTGGATTTATATTTTACCTTCATCCCCACAATGAGACTCAAGGTGACTCACAGGAATGTTTAATTAAAGGTACAGTGAAAGAACAAAGAAGGAATAAATGTCCAAGCATTATTAAATTGAAGAATTAAAATTACAGTTACAGTTATTAAATATATTGCTAAGAAAAGTGTAGGATCAAACCTCTGCCTCAGCAGTTTATTAAATAAGAGAGAAGAGCTTCAGTCAACCCTCTAATACAGTCTGACATTATTAGCCCAATATTTTGAGGGAGATATATATTCAGTCACAGGTTTAACTGACAGTTATTTCCTTCAATATGACTCTGATCTGATTTTTTTTTTTTTTTTTTTTTGGTGTTCAACAGATCCTGATGTTCAGAATGCCAGTATTTGCCATTTTGATAAGGGCGCCCCGTAACTCATGTATTTTCCCCTCAGACTTGTCAAAGAAGCTTCTATATCAACCATTGATCCGTCAAGGAACTTTGCAAAATGGTGTTTTTCTTTTCTTCTTCTTTTTAGATTTTCCAAAGATGCTAACGAAGAAGAAGATTTAGATGACATAATTAAAGATATAATTGATGAAAAGAGCTCTACCCAAAGTCTTGTGGTAAGTCTGAACACTAAACTTCAGACAAAGGGGAAAGAGGCAATTGCTTTTTGAGAAGAGTGACTTAGCCCCAGCTGTATAAAATCCACATTGAACTTGATTATATTGCAGTGCAGACTCAGATAATCCAATTCAAAGCAGATAGTGTGGATTATCTGCCTTGATATTCTTGGTTATATGGCTATGTGGAAGGGCCCTATGTCAGGATGGGGCGCTTCTAAGCCAAGGACTACAAATGGAGTTCCAATTCTGATCTCTCAAGACACTGATATTGGTGAGTCCTTAGCTTTTCAGTGAATTTTACCCCATTCAGCAATATTGAAATGTTTCTTTAAAGGATTTATTACTCACAGTCAGAGCTCTAAGCTTGACTGTGCTGCTATTTATTGGTCTTTTTCTTTGACTTCACTTATATTAGAATAAGTTCTGAAATTAAATGCAAGAGATTTCCCATCTTTGATCTAAACTGTTGATTCCTATTATCCTCCTTTGATATTGTAGTCATCCAATCAAAATAGAGGAACAAATGTGTTGAAATAAGAAGGCTTTTGATTGCACAGGCATTGGAATCCATGTAAAATGAGCCATATCATTCCAACATAATTATCGATTTATGTGTAAGTTATAGGTATATCCAACTAAATTAGACCAATGGGGTGAATGTGTGTTGTTAAGGTAGTATTTACATACATTTCATTGATTCAGTAGATGTGTTTTAGTGGGACAAATAATCGTATTCAGATCTATGGGTCCATTTGTTTTTTTCCCCAAGAAAATCGTTGTCTTTAAATTACAGTCAAATTGAGCTAATTCAATGGCAAACTCCTTCAGTCTTTTTGTTCAAAAAAAGCTATCCAAGATATGTAATAGCTAATAATGATACTAGATTAATAAGAAAATTAATGATATTTTGTCAAAGGCTTTCATGGCCAGAATCACTCGGTTGCTGTGCTATCACTGGGTTGCTGTGCTATGGCAGGCATCCTCTGAGAATGCCTGCCATAGATGTGGGTGAAATGTCAGGAGAGAATGCTTCTGGAACATGGCCATACAGCCCGGAAAACTCACAGCACCCCATTAATGATGTTATTTGAATTATCCCGCCTCATTGTTATTTGAACATAACATAAATCTGTGATTTATTAAAAGAAAAGTTAACAGGTTCCTATCTTCCTCTTTCTGTTAGAAACAAACATCTAAGTCATCCAGCCCTGCATCTGAAAACAATATTACTACTGTTCAAGCCCATGGTAAAAGGTAAGTAAAGGAGACAGGAGCAAATAAATGTCCAGGGATTAATAAATAGCTAAATTCAGCAACTGTGGGCCCTTCCACACAGTCATATAACCCAGAATGTCAAGGCTGATAATCCACAATTTCTTCTTTGAACTGGATTGTCGGAGTCCACACTGCCATATAATTCAGTTCAGTGTGGATTTTGTACAGCTCTTTGGAAGGGGCCACTATGAAGCATCAATAAAGAAAGAAATGATGACATGTATCCAGAACTACGTAATTATCTTTACGGCACAATTTATTCTGTTTGATGTTGGTGTATCCTATTTGTGGTCAGTGTGTCATTTGCAGGATATAGTGACCCTAAGGCAAACCTAACACAGCATCTTTTGTGGCTGAGAGAGTGTGACTTGCCCAAGGTCACCAAAGGGATTTCCGTGGCCAAGCAGAAAACCATACTGTGGCCCTTTGATTTGTCATCGAGCACCACTACACCACAGTGCTGCTTCGAATTTACCCTATACATATCTGATAAGAAATAAGTAAAAAATAAAGAAATTAGTTCAGTGAAAATGGTTACCAGTTTTTTATCAACTAAATGACTCTCCCAGCTAATTATAGTGTAGTGAAGGTGCACAGTACCTAGTACTGTGATGCTTGATTTAGTTCTGGTACTAAAATACATTTTGGGGTTTAACTTTTGTTATTTTTGTTTCTTTTCAACATTGCTATTGGGGTTTAATAGAAGAGAAGTGAGGTCCCAAGAGTTGAGTGGTGAGTCAAATTAGGGATTGCAGATTAGCAGTCAAAATAATATTGAGATGTTCCTGTTCTTCCTGTGCTGAGCTGTAAAGCTCACCGTAACAGGGAGGAGAAGAAATTTCTTTATTATTCTCATTGGATGTCAGATGGGCTTCAGTTTATGAATGAGGGATTTCAAAGGAACTTTATTTATTTATTTATTTATTTATTCACGATATTTCTATGCTGCCTTTCTCAGCCCAAAGGTGACTCAAGACGACTTACAAATTGGCAGCAATTCAATGCCACAATCATTGAAAACATATAATTACCAATAACTTTCTGTTAACTCATTTTCCAAAAGCATGGTCTAAGCTGTTCCATGTTCACTCTTTCCTGGTTCATCTATTATGCTCCTTGTTATTTAGGGCCCTTCCACACAGCCATATAACCCAGAATATCAAGGTACATAATCCACAATATCTGGTTTGAACTGGGTTATCTGAGTCCACACTGCCATGTAATCCTGTTCAATGTGGATTTTATACAGCTGTGTAGAAGGGGACCTTAGAGCCGAGCTAAAGCCTTGCTAACTCAGTGCATTCTTCCTTGATTGAACCAATCCTCTTGTAATTTTCCTCTTTTCCTAGTGACTTTGCCTTTACCAAGTATTATAATCATTTCCATTGACTCATGTCATCTCGTGATATGTGCAAAATATGATAGCCTCAATTTAATCATTTTGGCTTCTAATGAGAGTTCAGGTTTAATTTGATTTAGGACCAATTTATTTGTCTTTTGGCAGTCCATGGTATTTATACCGTCTCCTTCAGGATCAGATTTCAAATGGGTTGATTCTCTTCCTGCCAGCTGTCTTCTAGAAACAAGATATTTTTGTAAATTATTCCTTTTGTAATCCAAATTATTTAGGCTTTGAGGAGGAACTAAAGATTTTGAATGGGCAATTCATATCTCTTCAAGCTATTCATAAGGGAAATTAAAACTTCTAGAACCAATTGATGGCTGCATTTTTGGATTATGCTTGGGGATATTCCCATTCTGTGAGCCAGGGTTTCACATTTTCTACTCAAAACTCAATAAAGCTGCAGCCTGCCCAATTTTGCATTATATTAGATGAACTAGAGGCTCTAGAAGATATCTGAAGGAATAGCATATTCCCAAAAATATGAGAAGGCTACAGAAAAACATACATTGTTTGGAGAAAGAACACACTTTTCATAGTAATTTCAATCCGGCCTAGGTTCAGTTCCCTTTTTGATAATTCTCTGAAGAAATGGGTAGCATCCAATTCTTATTTCAGCTGTGCACAATATTCCATGAAGTTAAAAATATATTAATCGTTTTTGAAAATGCAAGGTTTTGTATTATCATTCTTGAAAAGTAGGTGTTGTATCCTATATTTCAGGGGAAAGTCTAGCAAACATATCTGTGCAATCCTTGCCTAAGAAAATCGTATGAAATTCCTGAAGTTATCATAAGTAGACAAGTGACTTAAAGGCATGTCGCCATTTTCATTTTGGGCCTATACATCATGTCTGAAAACCATGTTGAAATATTTACTTATAATAGTATACAGGGTTGTTGTCTTTTTCTGAACTGGCATGTCACCTAATTGTTTCAGAAGTACTAGCTTTATAGATATGTCCACAAGGTTACTGAAATCCCCCAAAATAAAACTGTTTTTAACCATGTCTGTCTGTCTTTCAAAACAAAACAAAAAAACTTGCTTTTTTAATTCCTCAAGATGTTGTCCAGTATACCTTGGCGGGAGCACTGCACCGATTGGTATTGGAACAAGTATTTCACAGAGGTAGGGTTTTTTTTAATTCAAAAGTACTGATAAACTCTTCCAGCAGAGCAAGTTATTTTGGGGGCTACAGATCCAAAAATCCAACTTGTAGTAAATTTTAGTTAAACTAGTATGGCCGGAAAACCTGCCTGCTGCAGATGAACCACTGGTCTATCTAATTCTGTATCTAATTCAGTTTTTGACTTAAAACATACCAAAATATCTAATAATATACACTTTGCTATGTCATTTAAAACCTAAGTCATAGGAGAGGCAGATTTTTTTTTGTCGTGTCAGGAGTGACTTGAGAAACTGCAAGTCGCTTCTGGTGTGAGAGAATTGGCTGTCTGCAAGGACGTTGCCCAGGGGACGCCTAGATGATTTGATGTTTTTATCATCCTTGTAGGAGGATTCTCTCATGTCCCTGCATGAGGAGCTGGAGCTGATAGAGGGAGCTCATCTGCCTCTCCCCAAATTCGAACCTGCGACCTGTCGGTCTTCAGTCCTGCCGGCACAGGGGTTTAACCCACTGCGCCACCGGGGGCTCCAGGAGAGGCAGATAGCAAATATTTGTTGTTGTTAAAAATCTATATGCTTTAGGTTTCATTTTATACATTGTTATGATTTTTAGTATTAGCCACATTGAGTTTCCTTTGGGTCAGAAAAAACAGGACATCAATACTACTTGTTGTTGTTCATTCGTTCAGTCATCTCCGACTCTTCGTGACCTCATGGACCAGCCCACGCCAGAGCTCCCTGTCGGCCGTCACCACCCCCAGCTCCTTCAAGGTCAGTCCAGTCACTTCAAGGGTGCCATCCAACCATCTTGCCCTTGGTCAGCCCCTCTTCCTTTTGCCTTCCACTTTCCCCAGCATAATTGTCTTCTCTAGGCTTTGCTGTGGCCAAAGTACTTCAACTTTGTCTCTAGTACTACTACTGCAATTCATATAAAAAGTACTCAATGTTCTCCTGTGGTGTTTATTTTAAAACGCTGGTGGTGCAGCAGTTAAAACCACTGAGCTGCTGAACTTGCTGACCAAAAGGTTAGGGATTCGTATCTGGGGAGCAGGATGAGCTCCCGCTAATAGGTCCAGCTTCTACCAACCTAGCAGTTCGAAAACATGCAAATGTGAGTAGATCAATAGGTACTGCCTTGGCAAGAAGGTAATGGCGCTCCAGACAGTCATGCCGGTCACATAACATTGGAGGTGTCTGTGGACAACACCAGCTCTTCGGCTTAGAAATGGAGATGAGCATCACCCCCCATAGTCAGACACAACTAGACTTAATGTCAGGGGAAACCTTTACCTTTAATTGAGATTAACATAGAAATGAGAGGTAGAATGGTCCCACAAGTAAACAAATAGGACATGAACCTAACTATCTGACCTTCATTCTGTTTCCTTGTCAGAGATTAATTTAATATCTATTATTATTAGATATTAATTTAATTTTTCATTCTGTTTCCTGGTTAGATATTAATTTAAGACATTGAATATTTTTTTAAAGGAAAAGGCCACCAGGGGGCCACATTCAATAGGAAAGATCAAACATTAAAAGTGGGAATTGTTTACAGTGCCTAGTATTTATGTTTTTTTAATTTTGCATTTGAAATTACCTAGCAGTCACACTGTGTTGAAATTAAAATAAGAGAATGTACAAAAAGTATAAACCTACTCCAAAAGAGGCAAAATTTCAGTTACTGAGTATACTAAAGCTGTCAGAATTGTCCTCCTAGGTCATGTGGCCAACATGACTGCATGGAGCACTGTTACCTTCCCGCACATACTTAACTAACAAAAAAACCTTTATTTTTTCTTATGAGTTTTGATTGATTGGTATACTAAATGCACTTATACATATGTATGTATTAGGAAAAGTAGTGCTGAAGAAAGAAGTGTATTCAGACAGCAAAATATGATAAGAAGCTCCCAGTCTTCTCCTTACAGTTGCATGAGAGAGACAGAGGAAAGGAGGGCCCTTCCACAAAGCCATATAACCCAGAATATCAAGGCAGAGAATCCATAATGTCTCCTTTGAACTGGATTATCTGAGTCCACACTGCCATATAACCCAATTCAGTGTGAATTTTATACAGCTATGTGGAAGGGGCTGGAGAGACTGGTTCTAACAGTTGCAACCCATAGTTTGCCTTTATCTCCAAGTGCTTCCATCATGAAATTCGCTGCCTTGTTTTCTGAGAAAAATTTGTTACTGCTTGACTTTTTAAAAATATCACAAGATTCCTAACGTGCCAGTATATTTTCAAAAATATGTGTTGTGTTAAAGTCATTTGAAAACATCAATTACATTCACCTCTTCTTCCTTTCAACAGAACGTGTGATAGGTTACGTTGTACTGCCTGTGATTTCCGTGTTTCACATTATGATGACTATCAGTGGGACAAATCATGTGATTACCTCTTTTTCAGGTGTGTATTTGTTGACAATATTGTTAGGAACATTAAGTGTGTTTTCCGCTGGCACTTAGTGGATACGTTGCATGAAACCATGTGGCACAGCAGACACTGTGATCTGTTTCCATGATCTTGTCTATATCTCAGTTTAATCCTTCATAGTATGTAGCTATCTTATCCAATCTGGTGCCCTTCATAATACAGCTCTAACCTTTTCTTCTTTTTTACCACTCTTATTGCTGGGTGGATGGGATGGGAGTTGTAACCCACACATCTAGAAGATACCAGGTTGGGAAAGACTGGCATACAGAAATAGTGGGATTTTTGTAGTATCTTGGGTTTGCAAAATGGCTCAAAGGCTTTGATGGCAGTGGCACAGGCAAGATGTATTTATCTTACATATTTATATATTTTATATAAATTATATATTTGTCTCCTGCAACATCACTTGGGAGCCCCTCAATATATACAATATAATAATATATAGAAATACTAACATTGTAATGTAATTGTGCTGATATATTATATGTAATATTAATAATGTTGCAATATAATATATTGTATATACTACAACTTACGATATGGTACAACATATTATATAATACTAATAGTAGTGTATTATATATATTGTGGTATAATAATATAGTACAATATTATAATATATAATAATATGATAATTGTATATTATATATTACATATAATATTTCTAGTATATTGTAGTATAATGTGTTACTATTTTTTATATAGATGTGGATTTGTTTTGGGGATTTGCACACATCTACGAACCTTCGTGTTGTTTACATATATTAATTCAGAAGTTTTATATTCAAGTTCTGTGTTAGTTATAATTTTTAGTTTATTATATTTTATTTAAATTATAGATGTTATGCTAAAGTTGCTCTTTATGTAGGGTTAGTTTGGGTTATTATATTTGTATTTACTGTTATTGAGGCATTGAATGCTTGTCTTTTGTTAGCTGGCATCTGCCCTGAGTCCCCCAGGGGAGATAGGGCAGAATATAAATAAAGTTTATTATTATTATTATTATTATTATTATTATCGGTTATTTTGTCTTTGTTCAGCTTCTCATGGCATCAAATGTTTGCCAATATCTGTTGCAAACAGCCCTGAATCTCCTCAGGGAGATAGGACAGGATATAAATAAAATTGTTGTTGTTGTTGTTTTTATATTTACCTTTGTTTCTATCTGTGGCTAATTTCATGCCCCGGTTGCTAATTCTAATAGGAAAATAATGGAGAAAAATGATTAATGCCACCCTCCTGGATGTTTGTAGGCAAAGGCATTGGCCAATCTGGCCATGCTATATCTGGCTGTTTATTCCCTACAATACTGTCCTAAATATACTAAAGAGCACATTATATCAAGCTGAGAGAGAGAGGTTTATTTCTAACTGCAGATATATGGGCCATAGCAACAAAGGAGGATAAGCTATTAATATAAGACCTGGATGACGCCTCCTGTTTTATTTCGATTAAGACATTTTTATAACTGCCTTTCAAATCCAAAAATCCCAAAGTGACTCACTACAATATATGACAACACAAGCAATAAAATATTTCAGATATTTTAAAAACACGCACATTAGATTGTCTATAACATGTCATGGACTTATTCTTTTCATGCTTTCCTTCAGAACACCGAATAAAGTCAGCTCTATCCTCACTGCTGTGTGAACATCTAAATACTGAAATATTGATTCAAGGGCTTCTTCCTAAAGAATTCATAACTCAGCTTCTGCTTGCAGAAGAGAGATTTTCTCTGCCCCTTTCCACTGCAACTGCTTGGACAAATACACAGGTGCTGATATCCCAAGCCGCACAAACAATACCTCAAATACTGCTTGTGAGGCTTTGATAAAACTCTCTCTATAATGTGTCATACAATGAGAGCCACACACTATTTGTAAACTGTACTCTGTTCAATGTTAGGGTGTTTCTAGATATCTGTGATATTTTCGTAATGCTAAAAGAGAGTTAAAGTGAAATGCTCTTTATTCTTAGGAATAATATGCCTGAATTCAGCAAGCTGAGAGCAAAGATGCTAAAGAAGAAGGGATCGCGGGCCTATGCTTGCCAGTGCGCTTGGAGATCTATAGATGGACTAACAGACCTCTCTACAGACAGACAGCTCCGCTGGGTTTGCAGCAAGCACGTCCAATGATATTTTTGTCTTCAACCATTTCCCTTCAAATACCTTCTGTTCCTTCTCAGTGATAAATGCAGTGTGTTCTTCATACAATTAGACCTTGTTGCTATTCCAAATATAGATGGAGCACTTTGCCTTGTCTCTAGTTCCTTTGCGAACTAACCTCACTGGGAAGAATAGCAAGTGGAAGACTTGAGGTCCTGCTGTCTGGAGAATGAAATGGGCAAGGACAGGTTCACATAAGGATTTGAGATGACGATATTAATAAAAATCCTTAGATTTCACAGCACCCTCCACTAAATAACTAGAAAGAGGATAAAGCTGAAAGAAAGTGAAGGCGATGTCATAGAAGGCATCTCAAATCTAGAAGAAACACACAAAAAATAAAGTATAAAGAAGCTAATGATTTGACTGGTACAGTTTTTACAGTGAGCTTGTAAAACTGAAAAATAGTTGAGCATTATCGTAGTCCATTCAAGATTTTAATGGTGAGGTAATGATGGAATAAGATAGCTTCTAGCATTCTGCTGTTGACGTCTATAGTCAAATTAGTGCTGTTCTAGAGCAGAACTAGCAGAAGCCATAAAATTGGCAGCCTGAGCAAGAAGCTGAATAGCAGTATCAGGTGAGGCTAGGGTTATAAAAGATACCTATCTAATTCCAAATCATGTTGTTAGGCTGCAGTTCAAATGAACTTTGAGCAAGGAGTCATTCCCACTGGACACAGTAGTGCAGGTTGAGCGTCCCCTGATGGGAATTCCAAAATACTCCAAAATCTGAATTTTTCCAGAATGGTGACTGAGATACTGATATCTTAATTTTCTGTACACAATGTTGTTTCATTCATTAAATTATTATTAAAAATTACCTTCAGACTTTGTGTATAAGAAACATAAATTAATTTCATGTTTTGACTTGAGACCAATCTCTGAGACATCACACTATGTAAATACAGATATTCTGTAAGCTTAATTTCATTTTATGCAATGTAACCCGATCAGAACTGAAGTGCAAACATTTTTGATATGCCTTTTAAAATGAACATTTGGAATCTAAAAGTAAACAACACAGAAACCATTCATTCCTATTTTTCTGTAATGCTACAACTATTAAAAGCTATATTCTTGTTATTTGTGGATAAGTTGGTTCTATATCTCATTTACCATTTTTGTTTATTGGTCCCAATGATGACTTAGCATCATAGAGTTGGAAGAGACCATCAAAGCCATCCAGTCCAACCCCTTCCTGCTTAGAAATGAAGATGAGCACCACCTCCCAGAGTTGGACATGACTAGACTTAATGTCAAGGAGAAACCTTTACCTTTACTATATAATAGTACTGCAGTTCTGTGGTTCTTCTTTAGTTTTTTTCTGACCTACATCCCAAAATGTCAAGGCCACATACACTAAAATTAGACTGTTTAAAACCATGCAAAACAGTATTTTTTAAGAAGTAATACTCCAACTTACCTCTTTTGAAAATTGTAACTTTTATTGGCTAAATATATTTGTGCAGAGTTACAATTTGGTTTTCAGTATAGCACCAGATTCCGTCTGATCTTGAAAGCTATATAGAATTAGCTCTGATTAGCACTTGGATGAGGGACCACTACCAAAAGCACACAGTATAAATGCATACTGGAGGTGGGAGCAGAGTCAGATGAAATACCCCAAAAGACAATTGTCACGGTTGAAATGTATTGTTGAAGGCTTTCATGGCTGGAATCACTAGGTTCTTGTGGGTTTTTTCGGGCTATAGAGCCATGTTCTAGAGGCATTTCTCCTGACGTTTCGCCTGCATCTATGGCAAGCATCCTCAGAGGTTGAGAAGGTCTGTTGGAAGTAGGAAAAATGGGCTTATATATCTGTGGAATGGCTGGGGTGGGGCAAGGAGCTCTTCCCTGCTGCAGTTAGGTGTGAATGTTTAGCTGATCACCTTCATTAGCATTTGAAGGCCTGCCTGAGTCTGGGAAAATCTGTTGCTGGGAGGTGTTAATCTGTGCCTGGTTTTTTCCTCTCTGTTGTTTAGCTGTTATAATTTTTGAGTTTTTTAATACTGGTAGCCAGATTTTGTTCATTTTCATGGTCTCTTCCTTTCTGTTGAAATTGTCCACATGCTTGTGGATTTCAATGGCTTCTCTGTGTAGTCTGACATGGTGGTTGTTGGTGGTCCAGCATTTCTGTGTTCTCAAATAAAATGCTGTGTCCAGGTTGGTTCATCAGGTGCTCTGCTATGGCTGACTTCTCTGGTTGAAGTAGTCTGCAGTGCCTTTCATGTTCCTTGATGCGTGTTTGGGCGCTGCGTTTGGTGGTCCCTATGTAGACTTGTCCACAGCTGCATGGTATACGGTAGACTCCTGCAGAGGTGAGAGGATCCCTCTTGTCCTTTGCTGAACGTAGCATTTGTTGGATTTTCTTGGTGGGTTTGTAGATTGTTTGTATGTTGTGTTTCCTCATCAGCTTCCCTATGCGGATCAGTGGTTCCCTTGATGTATGGCAGGAACACTTTTCCTCTGGGTGGATCTTCATCTTTACTCTCGTGGCTTGTTCGTGGTCTTGCAGCTCTTCTGATGTCTGAGGTGGAGTATCCATTGGCCTGGAGAGCCCAGTTGAGGTGGTTCAGTTCATCTTGGAGGAGGTGGGGTTCGCAGATTCTTTTTGCACGGTCTGCCAAGGCTTTAATGGTGCTCTTTTTTGACTTGGGTGATGGTTGGAGTTTTTATGTAGATATCTATCTGTGTGTGTGGGTTTTCTGTAAACTGTGTGACCCAATTGTTGATCTGGTTTGCGGATGACTAGGACATCTAGAAAAGGCAGTCTTCCTTCATTTTCTTTTTCCATGGTGAACTGGATGTTTGGGTGGATGCTGTTAAGATGGTCCAGGAACCTGTTGAGTTCCTCTTCTCCATGGCTCCAAATGGTGAAGGTGTCATCCACATATCTGAACCATATCGTGGGCTTTTTGGTTGCTGTTTCCAGGGCTTGTTCTTCAAAGTGTTCCATGTAGAAGTTAGCTATGACCGGGCTGAGAGGGCTCCCCATAGCTACTCCATCTTTCTGTTCGTAGAATTCATTGTCCCACTGAAAGTAACTGGTGGTAAGGCAATGGTGAAACAAAGCCGTGATGTCTTCTGGGAACCTCTGGTTGATGAGTGCCATGGTGTCTGCTACCGGGACCATGGTAAATAGAGATACCACATCGAAGCTGATCAGTTTGTCGTTTGTATTTAACTTGAGATTGCTGATTTTTTCTATGAAGTGGGCTGAGTCCTTGATGTAGTGTGTAGTGAGCCCAATATGGCTTTGTAACTGTGCAGCAAGAAATTTTGCTAGGTCGTATGTGGGGGATCCAATGGCACTCACGATGGGTCTGAGTGGGGTGGAGTCCTTATGGATTTTTGGGAGTCCATAAAGCCTGGGTGGATGGGCTTCCGATTTACATAGCTGTTGTCGTATGTCAAAGTTTATGGAGGAGTTCTTAATCAGGGTGTTGGTTTTCTTGGTTATTTTGGCAGTTGGGTCTTGCTTGAGTTTTTTGTATATAGTAGGGTCCAGGAGTTTTCTGATCTTCTCCTTGTATTGTTCTGTATGCATGATAACTGTGGCATTCCCCTTGTCTGCTGGCATAACGAGGATATCCGGATCTGAATTCAGTTCTCTGATGGCTTGTCTTTCCTTCCTAGTAATGTTACTGGAGGGAAGTTTTGCCTTTTTCAGGATCCTTGCTGTTTCTGCTCGTACTTCTTCTGCTTCCTCCTCGGGGAGGCGATAAATTGCTGATTCAACATTGGCAATGATGTTTTCTACTGGGATCCTGGATCCTGGAAGCTGATGAGGAAACACAACATACAAACAATCTACAAACCCACCAAAAAAATCCAACAAATGCTACGTTCAGCAAAGGACAAGAGGGATCCTCTCACCTCTGCAGTAGTCTACCGTATACCATGCAGCTGTGGACAAGTCTACATAGGGACCACCAAACGCAGCATTGCCCAAACACGAATCAAGGAACATGAAAGGCACTGCAGACTACTTCAACCAGAGAAGTCAGCCATAGCAGAGCCCCTGATGAACCAGCCTGGACACAGCATATTATTTGAGAACACAGAAATGCTGGACCACACCAACAACCACCATGTCAGACTACACAGAGAAGCCATTGAAATCCACAAGCATGTGGACAATTTCAACAGAAAGGAAGAGACCATGAAAATGAACAAAATCTGGCTACCAGTATTAAAAAACTCAAAAATTATAACAGCTAAACAACAGAGAGGAAAAAACCAGGCACAGATTAACACCTCCCAGCAACAGATTTTCCCAGGCTCAGGCAGGCCTTCAAATGCTAATGAAGGTGATCAGCTAACATTCACACCTAACTGCAGCAGGGAAGAGCTCCTTGCCCCACCCCAGCCATTCCACAGATATATAAGCCCATTTTTCCTACTTCCAACAGACCTTCTCAACCTCTGAGGATGCTTGCCATAGATGCAGGCGAAACGTCAGGAGAAATGCCTCTAGAACATGGCTCTATAGCCCGAAAAAACCCACAAGAACCTACGGTTGAAATGGTTAACAAACATTCTGGCACCAGCAAACACCTTTAATCTCATTTTGGAAGAAAAGTCAGATTATACATTAAGAGAAAAAGAAGAATGGAATTGTCACAGGATCACAACAGACAATTATAAAGAAAACAACATTGCTTAGAAAATGTCTCCCATACACCATTATATTTGTCTTATATTGTACACAAATATAAAAGTATCTAGCAGAGATGTTTACAAAGCTGATAGGCTACCTGTTTCTGTATTTTGCTTTCAGGAAAACCTGTGCTCTTTAAGGCGGCCCTTTGTTAAGGCTTATTGGAAGGTATTATAATAATGAAAACCACATCAGTGACAGTAATAGATTAACTCTATTCAAACACCTTTTAACAGATTGGAACAAGTGACCATATATCAATTCAGCTGTATCTCATTCCTGGAGACAATTTCCAGTGTATTTACACTTGAGGTTTGCATATTATTTTAATCAATGTGTTTTGAGGTGCCATTTTTTTCCTCCCTCCTCCCCTTCTTTTCTTTTTACACTATGGCACCTTAAAAACCAATGGGGTAGTGTAGTAGTATGAGTTATAGACTTTGAAGATCTAGACTCAAATCCGGGCTCGGCCATGAAACCCTCTGAGTGACCTTGGGCGGGTTATATTCTCAGCCTTTGAGGAAGAAAATGGCAAACTGTTTCTGAACAAACCGTGCCAAGAAAGTCCTGTTACGGATTCACTTTCAGGCTTCCATAAGTGAGAAATGGCTTGAAAGCAAATGACAACAAAAAGGGGTGCATTTACACTGGAGAATCGGTGCAGTTTGACACTACCTTAACTGATATGGATCAATGCTATGGCACTCTTTGGCAGAGAAGGCTAAATATTTTGTGGAAATATTGCAACTTTCATTATTCCATAGCACTGAGCAATGATGGTTAAAGTGGTGTCAAACTACATTAAATCTACAGTGTAGATGCACCCAAGGTTTCATGCATGATACCTTCCTTCTGATGCTAAACCAGCTCTTGGGAGGAGAAAATCCTGTTCAATACTGTAGAGGGCAGGCTAACATTTAAATAGGCAGCTGCAAATCCTTAACATTTGAGAACTGGGGACTATTCAGAACTGTCCTACATTTGAAGATCTGATTTTTATTCAGTGAATAGGGGGAAAGCCCAAGAAAGGAGAGAAGGAAGAGTCTGCATGAGAGCAGACTGAGCAATAGACAATCAGGTGGCATGATGAGTACTATCATATTTTTATTTATATTCCTGCAGTAATTTCTAAATTTGAATCTGTGCATTTAAATTCATACGTGCACATTTTCTAGCAAATATGTCTTCCCACCTTGTTGGTTTTTTTTTTTTTTTTGGTTTTTTTGACAATGTATAAATAGCTACTTTGTGCAACACATAATGTTAAACTATAGGCCTCTCTTCCATTTCACTTCTTGGCCTGTTCCTTTTTCTCATGTTGAATAGTTGACCGGTTTCTCATGAATTCCATCATGAAATCACTTGCAGTCTCCATTTCCCTTCTGTGTGTGCAGATTTCCTGTTCCCACGTCATAGGGTACAT